AAGTTACATTTGTTAGTGAGGATACAATTAGCTATACGTACAACTTTAGTCATTGTCTATTTACAGGTTCTGCTATATAGGTTATCTACCAATTGCCATATCTAGTATCTGCCTGTAGATACTCTATTTAAATCCTCTAGCGTCACAGTGAAACTCTATTTTTAACCTAATATTTATTTATCTACGCTAATCTTATGCTACCTTATCTGAGAACTACTCAGACCAACTTGCGCCTCAAATTGACTTCATAGGACTAGGCCCTATCACAAGGTACCCACCTGCGTCCTATTCCAGTGAGGGCTTGTGGATGATCCCAACTATGCTATACTATATCCCAATTAAGCTAGTATATACCCTTATCGATGTTCGTACAAACTCAGTTCCTTTCGTAGCTCTCCACCAAATTGGTCTAGTTCTTCCAAATGTTTCACAAGATAGATCTTCCCAAATCCAGTTAGCTGCCAAGCCAGATTGGTGTTCCCATTTGTATAACATTATATCATGCTTAACTTTTCCATTACATTATAGACTTACTCGCATCTACTCGGTCTGCATTCTTCATTCTTAGACTTCCTCCGAATCGAGCGTCAAACTAGCATGACCGTCGAAATCTATACTACATCATCTAACTCAGAATTTCTACTATGCAGGTCCCCTGCTCATAGATCCTATCAAGATTTATTTGTATAACATTATATCAGACCTGACTTTTCTGTTACACTTCCAATATCTGATTGATATTAGTACAACATGATTTACAGGGTTACAACTCCAGAAACAAACAGGGTTTACTGTAAGTTAGATACAAAGGTCTGAGTAATTATTCAAATTCGTTGATAGTGGGATTTGAACCCCAGACCTCTTACATAGCGGTCCGACAACCTAACTACTATACTAAGATCGCTGGACCTTAACAGAGCTACCTAAAAACCAAAGATTTCAAGATTATGAAAAAAGTAAAGTAGGTGCAAGAAGAAGTGAAAAAAGCTTAGGGAAGAGAAAGGAGTTTGAACAAGAACAAAAAGAGGAATACTCAAAGTATGTTCAAGAAAGAGTACAAAAAAGAGGAAGCTATCAGCAAAAAGCTTTAATTAGTTTAGCTTTAAATGAGCATAAAGAAAATTGGAACATATATAGAAAATCTCTGAATCCATTAAATGATAGTGAAGAAGAAAAGCTCAAAGTAAAAAAGAAGGGTAACTTCCAGAAGAAAATAAGAAGCAATGAAAGAAGAGAATTAAGTAGGCAAAAATACTATAGAAATTACAACAGATTCTTAGATAATATAGCTCAACTAATGCAAAACTTGAAAGAAAAAATTAGATATTTGAGAATAAAGTACCTAAACCGCTTCTAATTTTCACACTAGTTGAACTAAAGGAAGCCTTGCATATACAAGAAGAAAAACTTGTACAGCAAAATAAGGCAGAGCAAGAAACAAACCATATAGGAAAGAGTTTTAGAATGAACAGAACAAATATAAGTGCGCAAGAGATTAGGAAAAGTATAAATATAGCAGCTCACAACATAAATGAATTAAAAGGTAATAGACACAAGGTAGAAATATTAATAGACAATTTTGTAGAAGAAGACTATGACATGGTAGGAATAATAGAAACAAACATCTCTGAAAAAGAAGGCCAATACATAATGAGTCACCAAGAAAATATAGATAGTTTTTGGACTAATTCAGAAAAGGACAAAAGCAAAGGTTCAGGAATAGGTATAATAGTTAGCAAGAAATAGTCAAATCATATATAGCAAATTAGAAAACATAGTAGCTATTTGCTAGAGTTACACTTTTTCTTTAAGCAATTAGAACTAGTTGTTTTCATAGTCTATATAGTACTAAATAGTTAACTAAAAAGAAAAGAAGTGCAGAGAATAATAATAAAAGAAATTGCTCAGAAAAGATCAAATATGTACTTTATTATAATAGGTAACTTTAATTATATTATATAGCTAGGTATAGATAGAAGTAGAAGTGCAAATAGCAATTACAAAAAATTACCACTACATGGCTGAATAGCAAAACAGAACTTTATTGATACATTCAGAGAGTTATATCTAAGCAAAAGAGAATTCTCAAGAAGTAATAGAAAGGATAGTACAAGACTCAATCAGATCTGGATCTCAGAAGGTCTAATATATGGTCTCAAAGAAGCTTTAATTGAAGAAATAACCTTAGAGACAGGTAGTAATCATAGACTAGTAGTAGCAAAAATACTACTAGATCATCTAGACTTTAGAAATAGTTTAGTACAAATCAAAAGAAAGGAAGTTAAAAAGACAATTTTCTTATACGATAAAGCAACAGAAGAAAATTAGAACAATTTTAAAAATAAGCTGTAGCATCTACTCAGGAAAAAATTAAATAAAAAGCTATGGGTAAAAGAACTTTTTAAAGAAACCAACAATGAATCTATAAATAGTATAGTTTTGAACAAAGAGTGAGATATTATAAGTAGTAGTATCAAACAAGCAGCAGAAAATAAAATCCCTTGTAAGAAAGTGCTAAACTCAGGATGCAACAAAGCATCAAAAAAGATTCGCTCAGAATTGCAAAACACAATAAATACAATAAAAAAAACATTAAAAGAGTGCAAAAAGAAAATAGGAACAAGTAGAATAGAAGATGAGCAATTAGAAATTGAACGAAAGATAGAAGAGATAAATAAGAAAACAGAGTCAAGTATAGTAATACTAGGGCCTCTATAGAGTAAACAACTACAAGAAAAGCTCTCTAGATAGTAGTCAATACTAAAAGGCAAACTAGTAGCAGAAAATAGTATTGCTAGCAGACTAGAAATAAATAAATGCATAGACTAAAGATGTGAAATGATAAGAGATAACCAAAAAAGAATGATCAATAGTCTGCTAGAAAAGCCTTTTAAAACAGTTGTAATTGACAAATTACTTATAGAGAAAGAAGAGGTTAAAGAACTCTTTAATGAACTAAAAGAAGTTCTCAAAAGAACAGCTAACCATTTTCAAAAACACTTTAAAGAAAGAAGTTTTCAGCAAGAAAATTTTTTGAATAGCTAGAAGGAAGTTTATATGCTGCTAAGAGTCAAAGAAAGCTATTACAAAGATCTAAACAGTAGGATAATGAAAGAAGAGTGAAATTCAATACTTCAAAAGCTTAAAATTAATATAGCACTAGGTATATCTGATATTGGTTATATTCTAATTAAGCAAGCTAGTATAAAAATACAAGCAGCTTTTAGAAATTTCGCTAGCTTGTATTTAAGAACAGACAGAATCCCTCTTAAGTAGAAAATTAGTCAGATGTACCCCATACCTAAAGATGTAGATTGGCATTTAAATAAACAATATAAAGCTAATAGCACTTCTGAAAATATTCTGAAAATATGTTACTAAAGTCTATACAACTAGATTAGAGAGAATACTAAGAGAAAACAATATTCTCGAAGGACCAAATTTTGCAGAGTTAATAGGAAGTTCAACAGAGAGTCCAATTCATATTTTGAGTATGATAATAGAAGAAGCTAGGGAAAGAAACAAGGAGCTTTGGATATTACTACAAGATATGAAAAAAGCCTT